GGTCGCGACCCACAGGTTGAGAACCGCTGCTTTAGAGCCTTCATTAAAGTCTCCCAGACAAGCTCCTGTCGAGTGTTGAGGCTTTCTGTCCCACAGGAAGCAAGAAACACATCTGTGGGTTGTGCACAGCAGAGAGCCTGGTGCCTCCGTGCCATTAATCTTATCAACGCCATCATCAAAAAGTCCCTTCTAAGCACCCGATTGCTGTGACACCCAACAAGAGGAAGACTTGGGTGGGAGGCAGCTGAGCTCGAAGGGAGGAGGCCTGGATTCCCACCTCCTCTCTGCCTGTAAGTCGCCCTGTGCCTTAAGCATGGCAGGGTTTCCCTGGCCCCTCGCTAATGCTTCGCTGAGTCATAGATACCACCCTGCCCTTCCACATGTACCCAGCCCATGCCCACGGCAGACAAGGCTCATCGATCACTCCTGTGGAGCCTTAGAACACCGTTAACACCGAGCTCCTGACAGCCAATGCTCACTGGTTTGAAGGGCACTCAAGGTGAAACCTACCTGTCATCATGCCCTAAAGGAATTTTAACCTGAGAATGAAGTTCTGTGCCAAAGGACCAGCCAGGTCACTCAGAGAAAGAATAAAGAAAAGAAAAGAAAGGAAAGGAAAGGAGAGGAGAGGAGAGGAGAGGAGAGGAGAGGAGAGGAGAGGAGAGGAGAGGAGAGGAGAGGAGAGGAGAGGAGAGGAGAGGAGAGGAGAGGAGAGGAGAGGGAAGAAAAGAAAAGAAAAGAAAAGAAAAGAAAAGAAAAGAAAAGAAAAGAAAAGAAAAGAAAAGAAAAAAGAAAAGGAGAGAGGGAGGGAGGGAGCGAGGAAGGAAGGAAAAGAAAGAAAAGGAAGGAAGGAAGGAAGAGAGAAAAGAAAGAAAGGTTAAAAACCAATAAAGTAATAAACCCCCCTAAATGATCTGACTGGCCAGGTAAATGATACATAATTACTAAGCAAAGATATCCTCACTGAATCGTTTTATTTGGGTAGATCGTGGTTACCAGTATTGAAACTCACAAATCAGAAATGCCCTTTCCTTACACACAAGGAGTGTTGGAAGGCAAGGAACATTTAACAGTCCCTTCCTTTCACAGACGAGGAAATGGAAGCCTCAGTGGTTGGAATTTCCTGAAGCCTCACCGTGGTGGTGGCCATTTCGCAAAAGAACCCATGCTGTCCGCTTCCCAGCCCCATGCTCTCCACCCTCTGACTCTATTGTCTTGCTTGGCACGGAAAAAAAAAAGAAAAAAAAAGACAGCTATTTAAGGCACAGGCAATTGATAGTTTTCAATAGTGTCTGTGGTGAAAAGTAACTATCCAATGGCCCCTAACTGAGATCATAAAAAAATAAATTCTGAAACACCCCAGGGAGTGAGAAATGGGATTCAGAACTCCTTCATTCTATTGTAACTCAGCCTCTCCCTGTTTGGATAGCTGGGGAGAGTCACCTCACCCGTTTTTGACCTTGTTTTTCATGCCTGTACAATGGGCTCCAATAATGCTGTCTGTACTTGCCTCCCCAGGATAGAGAAAATAAAAGCACAGTCAGGGAACTTCCTGCCCCAGGAAAACAGCAGTCATCATGAGCAGGTGATAAGCAAGCAGGTAGGGGCTGCCATTCTGGGATCAGTGGCAACACCTGGCAAATGCCAGGATGCGTAGGAAAATGTACCACGGCTCCGGGGTGACACAGGGATTCACACGGGGGTCAGGCAGGCCTCAGAAGTGGTCTTTGTTGAAATGGGAATTTCAAGGAAAGGAAAACCCAGGAGGACCTTCCAAACGATGAAGGACTGCGCCAGGGTCAGCAGGAGGCCCAAGGGGTCCCTCCTTCTCTTTCCGCTTCAGACGCCTGGAGGAGGGTCTGACAGCAGGGGATGGCCCAGCAAGCAATGCTTAATGAGTGTTAACTGGGGAGCAGCTTAAAGCATTAAGGACCAACAGGTAGCCGATTAGCACGCAGGGAGTAGCCCAAACACACCTCCTCCTGATTGCATTCACCTGGGCACCTCACTGGGTGTACCTGACATTGGGAGCCTAGCTTTGTAGCCATATGCCCACCACACCAGGCCTTTGCCATAGCACGTGGCAGTGTGTTCACAGAAAATATCTTTCTAGGACGTGAGTGAAACATGTGCTTCTCCCAGGTCTGGCAGTTTGCCGCACTCCAGCAAAGGAAAGGCTGAACCGGCTTTGTTCTCTTGCTTCAGTGGAGCCCAGATCTGTGGGAAGTCATTCTAGGGAAGAAAGAGGCCTCTGTGTTGGCCACTAGGTGGCGCAAGAGTTCTACCAATGAGACTCCGGCTGGCCCAAGGCCCTGGTAGGGAAACTCTGAGAGGAAATTTGAAGCTTCCAAGAATTTCGAAGCAGGATAGGGTCTTAGAGGTCACCTAGTCCAAACCTATCATCTCAAGGCCAGGTAAGTGATGCTCAGAGAGAGGAAAGATGTTGCCTGGTGTAAATAACTTGTTAATGCAAAACTGGGCATGGAAACCAGGTCCCCTACCTCTGGATCCATCTCACTCAGCCCAGCCACCATGGTTTTCTCTCTCTAGTTATGTGTGTCCCCGATTCTTGGCCACTCCTGAAGCAGGAGGCAGCTCTGGTGTTGAGGATTAGACCCAGAAAAACAGGAAGGGAGTGGAATTGTTAGGTCTCCTCCCCAGTGTTAGGTTCGCTGAAGGAGGAACGCACGAGGCCAGAAGTGATAAGATGACCTATACATTTATTAGGTTACCTACACACCAGATGGGCTGGGCCCCAAAATGGTGCCAGCACACAGGGATGGGGAGTCAGAGATTTTAAAGGGCTCTAGGCAGACTTTTTCGGCGGGGAATTCTCTGGGCGGGATCCTGGACAAGTCCGGAGGGGAGAGGTAATAGTCTTAGCAAATGGAAGGTGTTCTAAGCGAAAGGGAAGGTTGGTGGTGAAGTAGACTAAAGGTCCGTTCCCAGGGAAGAGGGTATCCATTCAATTATTTGATCAGACCTAACACCCAGCCGTGTGGATTGGTCCTCACCGATGACCAAATGTCAGAGAATACCACAAGGTACAGAGAAGTCTCCTGTGATCCTGCCCAGGCTGTGCCTCTAGGGTACGTCGTCCTACGTGGAACTGTAATTGGCCAGATCATAAGGGTCAAAGGCAGGTGGGGATCTTAATGCAAACTCTGCTCTGCTCACCACTCACCAATGTGAGCCGCTCACATCCCCAAGCCTTGGTTTCCTGGCTTACTAAAGCAACATGGCAAAGGGAGGGTCAATTTCTGCCATCAAGTTTTCCAGCCAAGACCACTGGGACCCAGAAAATGAACCTGCCATTGTTTCTATTTTTCTGTTTTTCACATTTTTTTTTTTCACATATGTTCTACCATGTTCCAGAAGGAAAGGAAAGTACAACTGAACAGTAGGGATAGTTTATTACTAGAGATAGAGATCAAGAACTATTTAATGGTAATGATGATTCACTGAACAAAATAGATCCAAAAGTATTTATTAGATGCCAAGTTTGTTTTGATATATGATTCTATTTTATTTGACATTCTATCAACCAGAAGTCACATTTATTTGGCATCTGCATTTTTTCTGCGAAGTAATGATTCCTGTCATTCTATATAAAAGGCCAATATGCTAAGTGTCCAACCATCCAACTGGTCGCTATGACACACACTGACTACCAGCAGGCAGATGCTCAATGCAGGAGCTGCAGAGTTGCAGTGACTTGGCAGTGGAGGTTCTTGGGTGACACACCCAGAAATCAGAGAGGAGGGAGCCCAATTCCTCAAGGGCCACAAGATTCCACCTTCAGCCATGGGTTATATTGTTGCTGGGGCACACTTTCATTTGTGTTCCACACTCTGTACGACAGCAACTTTGCAGAGTGCTCTCTTGCACTCCGGGAGCCCTCGGGGAATGTTGGAGAGCCAGTTTTGCCTAATCCCCACAGGCCAGGCCGAGGGATCCCACCTGCCAGAGGGACCCAGCTCGCTCTGCAGACCATAGGAGGTTGGCTCCAGGGCGTGTTCAGCCCCTCTTGCCCAGTCCCACCCTGACGGCCACCTTCTAATTAATTTCCTTTCAATGTGCATGAATCCATACACCAGGTCACTAGTTTATAATAAATGAGGCATTCACACTAGTGGAAGGTCCAGAGTGCAGGCTGTGCCCTGGTTTGAACTTTTTCTGCCACTTGTGACCTGGGTAACGTTGGGCAATCCTATAACCTCACTAATTTCTATACTTCTCATCTCTGAATTGGAATCACACTTTGATTCTCAACTATCTTACAATGACATAGAAGGCCACCTAGCATGAAGAACTTGCTTCCTAAATACCCTTCTCCAATAAGAGGGACTAGGGCCCTTTTGGAAAAGTGGATGATTATAGGATCAAAGCAAGACAAATCCAGGATAAATCTGGAGCTTTTGGTGTGTCAAATGAGCTAACCTGAAAGGGTCCCCAATGGCCAGAGCTGGAATGATTTGAGCAGCAAAATAATGATAGTATTGAATTATAATTCAAAGAATAAAAGAAATATCCTTAAGTCAATACTGATATAAATAGCAGTAATAGGGGAGAAGGGGCAGATATTCTTTACAGAAGAATTACAATTAATAAATGAGGGAATGAGGATACAATTCATCTTTAGAACACCATAGCTAAGATCCACAAGTGGGCGCTAAAATTAGTGGGCAGAAGTTTGAACAGGTTATTTGAAGGAGGTTAGTGTCAATCTCTACCAAGACGCTTATCAATTGCCAAGGGGACAAATAATCACTTTACAGTGGGAAAACCCAGCAGCCACCACTCTAACAAATGATCAAGGTCAACATCACCAGTGATAAGGCATACTAACATCACGTACCCCCACATATGATAGACTGATATGGGCACATGGCATTCTTCACATTCTTGATAAAAATGCATCATGTCAATCTAGCCATAAGAAAACATCCAACAAACCCAATCTGTGAAATATCCTACAAAAATAACTGAACAGTACTTACTGAAGTGTCAAGGTCATGAAAGACGTGTAAAGACAGGAGCTGTCACAGATTGAAGGAGACCAAAGAGACAGGACCACTAAGTGGAATGTGGGATCCTGGGCTGGAGCCTGGAACAAGAATGAGCATTAGTGTCACTTGCCCAGGGGGCAGTGGGAGATGTGCCAGAAGGAGACTGGCCCAGCCTCCATGTTGTACAAATATTATAACTCTTGCATGTGCCACAATGGGAAAGAGGCAGCACCGAAACTGAGGACCCAGCCGATGGTGGACCTTTCTACTACCCCTCCAGCTTCCATACTGCAGGTTGGCAAAGGGCTAAGCTCAAGACAGAAGACTGTATCAGTTTTAGAATGCTTTAAGTTGCAAAAATCTAATTACTCAGCTGACAATAGCCTAAACCACAGAGTCACTGAATCATCTGACCTGAGGAATAGAGTGAAAAAATAGAATGAGATCACAATGGTCAAGTTGCTAAATTACTTAAAAAAATGAAATAGGTTGAGGCATGAGGGATGCTTCTAATTTTTAAAAAAAATTGTTTTCAATTACAGCTGATATACAATATTATATTAGTTTCAAGTGTGTAACATAGTGATTGGACATTTATATACCTCACGAAGTGATCCCACTAATAAATCTAATACTGCCTGGCACCATACAAGGTTATTACAATTCTAGAGGCCTGATGCACGAAGATTTGTGCAAGAATGGGCCTTCTTTCACCTGGCTGCTGGCACTGCCTTCGCTCCGGCTGGAGCCACCTTTCTGTCTTCGTTCATGCTCGAAGCTGCCTTTCCACCTTCCCACACTTCCCAGAGGCCCAGAGCAGCTGGGGTAGTGTAGAACGCCTATGTCGTCACCATGGTGATGACACAAGCATCCCGCTCCGCCCCACCCCCGGCTGCTCGGTGCCTGTGCATGCAAATTAACCCACCATATTTGTTTGGTTAATTTACATACTCACTTCTGATTGGCTGGTGGGCGTCATGAAGGTACAGTCAATTTGCATTTTTCTCTTTTATTAGTGTAGTCAGGGGTGGGCAAATTCTTTGACTCGAGGGCCACAATGGGTTCTTAAACTGGACCGGAGAGCCGGAACAAAAGCATGGATGGAGTGTTTGTGTGAACTAATATAAATTCAAAGTAAACATCATTACATAAAAGGGTACGGTCTTTTTTTTTTTTAGTTTTATTCATTTCAAACAGGCCGGATCCGGCCCGCGGGCCGTAGTTTGCCCACAGCTGGTGTAGGTTATTGACTATGCTGTACTTCACATCTCCATGACTACTTTTTATAACTGCTAATTTGTACTTCTTAACCCCTTTCACCTTTTTTGTACTTCTTAATTCCTTTCACCTTTTTTATCCATCCCCCTAACTCCCCCTCCATCTGACAACCATCTATTTGTTCTCTGTATCTATTAGTTTGTTCCTGTTTCATTTATTTTATGTTTTAGATTCCACTTATAAGTGAAATGACACAGTATTTGTCTATGTCCATCTGACTTATTTCATTTAGCATAATACCCTGACTTATTTCATTTAGCAACAATTCATTTTGTCACAAATGGCAAGATTTCATTCACTTCTTTTTCTTTTAAATTAATTAATTTATTTTTTAAAAATTCTTTATTGTTGAAAGTATTACATATGTTCCCTTTTTTCCCCCATTGACCTCTGCTAGCCCACCCCCACATCCTAGGCCTGGCCTTCCCACCCCTGTTGTCTCTGTCCATTGGTTCTGCTTATATGCATACAAATTCTTTGGTTGATCTTTTACACCCCCCCCCACACACACACACACACACACACCCAACCTCCCCTGCCTTCCTTCTGGGGTTTGATGGTCTGTTTAATGCTTCTATGTCTCTGAATCTATTTTTGTTCATCAGTTTATATTGTTCATTATGTTACACAAATGAGTGAGATCATGTGATACTTATCTTTCTCTGACTGGCTTATTTCACTTAGCATAATGCTCCCCAGGTCCGTCCATGCTGTTGCAAATGGTTAGAGTTCTTTCTTTTTCATAGCAGTGTAGTATTCCACTGTGTAGATGTGCCACAGTTTTTTAATCCACTCATCTACTGATAGGCACTTAGGCCGTTTCTTAGCTATTGTAAATTGTGCTGCTATGAACATAGGTGTGCATATATTATTTCTAATTAGTGTTTCAGATTTATTGGACTATATTCCTAAAAGTGGAATCACTGGGTCAAATGGGAGTTCCATTTTTAATTTAAAAAATATATATATTTTATTGATTTTTTTACAGAGATGAAGGGAGAGGGATAGAAAGTTAAAAACATCAATGAGAGGAAAACATTGATCAGCTGCCTCCTGCATACCCATTACTAGGGATGTGCCCACAACCAAGGTACATGCCCTTGACCAGAATCGAACCTGGGACCCTTCAGTCCACAGGCCGACACTCTATCCACTGAGCCAAACCAGTTAGGATCATTTTTAATTTTTTGAGGAAACTCCATACTATTTTCCACAAAGGCTGCACCAGTCTGCATTCCCACCAGCAGTGCCCAAGAGTTCCCTTTTCTCCACATTTTTGCCAACACTTGTCGTTTATTGATTTGCTGATGATAGCCATTCTGACAGGTGTGAAGTGATATCTCATTGTCGTTTTGATTTGCATCTCTCGGATGATTAGTGACTTTGAGCATTTTTTCATATGCCTCTTGGCCTTCTGTGTGTCCACTTTTGAGAAGTGTCTATTTAGGTCCTTAGCCCATTTTTTGATTGGATTGTTTATCTTCCTTTTGTTAAGTTGTATGAGTTCCCTATAGATTTTGGAAATTAAATCCTTATCATAAGTAACATTGACAAACATTTTCTCCCATGCAGTGGCTTTCTTGTTATTATGTTGATGGTTTCTTTTGCTGTACGGAAGCTTTTTATTTTGATGTATTCCCATTGTTTATTTTCTCCTTAGTTTCCATTGTGCTAGGAGATGCATTGGTAAACATATTACTACGAGATATGTGTGATATTTTGCTGACTATGGATTTTTCTAAGATTTTTATGGTTTCCCATCATCCATTTCTTCTGTATCTATTCATCTATCAATGGAAACTGAGGCTACTTCCATATCTTGTAAATAATGCTGCAATGAACATAGGGGTGTATATGTCTTTTCAAATTAGTATTTTGGATTTCTTCAAGATAAATACCCAGAATTGGAAAGAATTCTATTCTTGTTTTAACTAGCCTGGGAACTTAACCTTTGACTCTTCCAGGCCTGCATCAATGCCTGCATATACATCAGACCTCCAGACAACCCTCTGATTAGCCACTGAAAGACGGAGGAAAGGATGCTCATGTATTCAGACCACCAGTCATCTAGAGATGACCTCAGAACAATCCAGAAGCTACGAATGCAGGACTGATTCTTCTCAAGGATGTACTTTTTACTCCAAGAACTCTTAGCTTGTCTTTCTTCTTCAGAACACTCTGGATATTGCCTAGATGTGTTTCCAGTTTGCAAACTCTAAGAACCTCAAATAAATCTTTATCATTGACTTCTAGCCAAGGTCGCCAGACTCTTTGAGTTCATTCGACATACCCAGCAGAGAGGCGAGCAGTCCCAGAGTTAGTTGGGCAGTCAGCGATGCAGGGTGTCAGGGAGCACCTCCACCTTCTTCTGGCCTTCCTGTCATGGTGACATGGTTATGGCAGTCCCAAACATCGCATTCTCACATGGCAACACCCAAAGCGGAAAGAGGAATCTCATCCTCTGCCTTTTCTAAAATTGATTTTTAGAGACAGTGGAAGGGAGAGAAAAAGAGAAGCATTGATGTGAGAGTGGAACATGGATCGGCTGTCTCCAGCACGCCCCCTACCAGAGATCAAGCCCACAACCTGGGCATGTGCCCTGACCAAGAATCAACCAGCAACCTTTTGGTGCATGGGACTAACGAAGATCCAACCAACTGAGCCACAGTGGCCAGGGCTCCTCCCATGCCTTTTATGATCGAGGAAATTACATTCCCAACTTCCCCGGCAGACTTCATTTCTATCTGCAAAGGAGAATGGGAAAGCACGTGTCTGGTAAACTCAACTTCTAGTTTCAGGCAGGCCAGGAAGATGGGGTTGGAAATGTACTATTTTTATCTCCCACTTAAAGACAAGGAAGCTAGATGTGAGGAGGTTAAAGTTATACTTGCCCAAGTCACACAGTTGGAAATGACAGAATTCAGATAAAAATTCAGGAAGGTCTGATCTTGAGCCCAGATTCCACACACCTCTGGATGCCTCCCTCACCTGCTGTACAGACTGCATCAAGTTTAACAGCTTGCCCATTCGTTGTATTTCCTGGCTCTTCCCATTAACCTTCCATTGAGATTCAATATTGTAAATTCTTTCCATCAGGCAAAGAGGCACGTGCAGAGTCTGCCCAGCATAGCAAGAGAACTGAAGCTACCATTGAGATAATAGAACTCCTAGGGAGGAGTGGTGATGGAGGCATTTGTGTGGACTAGGCAATGCAGTGAAATGTTCAGCAGAGTAGCTGGAACGCTATCAGTCAGACAGGGACGGCTGATGAATGCTTGCTGTTCAGTAGCATTTTTGCCATGGAAATAAAGTTCAAGGGAAAGGTCAGTTCTCAGTCATCCAACAGACCTGTAATGTACCTTGAGCATGGTGCAATTTCAGTGATTTCTCTCCATGATTTTAAATGCTGTTCTCATTGAAAAATGGATTTTAATTTCTGACAGGTTATGCTAGGACTCAAATGCTCCTCGTTGTCATGGTGATTCAAGGGCTTCTTCTAGCAAGTGAGTGAGGAAGCGTGGGTGGGGGAAATAATTTTTTAACTCTACATGTGTGGAGCCCCAGGTAGGGAGCCAAGCTTGAGGTATAACAGAGAAGAATTATGCCTCGGGGGACCTGGACTCATGGGTGTGGGCAGAGAGGGTCCAAGCTCCAGGTGAATGTGTCTACCCAGAGGGCCAGGCTGTCCCAGAGCTGCAGCTCAGGAACCAGGGAGACAGTTAGCCAGATGAGACCAGGGGATAAAGTAGTGGAGTAAAGAAATGCTACTCAATCTAACTGGTAAAGAGCACCGCCAGCTCCCAGTGCCCTGGCTCAACGTCACCCTGACTCCTGAGCTGTTTGCTCCTGAGGCAGCCTGGCATTTCTGCCCCGCTGGATGCTGAGATTAGACTGTAGGGGATGTGGTAGGCAGAATGATGGCTCTCCTTAAACACCCAGTCCTAACCCCAGGAACCTGTAAATATGTTGCCTTACATGGCAAAAGGACTTGGCAGATGAGATTAAGGCTATTATTTATTTTTAAATTTTTATTTTTATTGGTTTGAGAGAGAGAAACATCAATTTGTTGTCCCACTCATTTATATATTCACTAGAGGCCTGGTGCACGAAATTTGTGCACAGGGTGAGGGGGGGGACGGTGTCCCCTCAGCCCAGCCTGCACCCTCTCTAATCCAGGACCCCTTGAGGGATGTCTGACTGCCGATTTAGGCCTGATCCCTGGGATCGGGCCTAAACCGGCAGTCGGACATCCCTCTCACAATCCTGGACTGCTGGCTCCTAATCGCTCATCTACCTGCCTGCCTGGTCGCCCCTAACTTTCCCCCTGCCGGCCTGGTCGCTCCCAACTGCCCCCTCAGCTGGCCTGTTTGTTCAGTCATTTGGTCGTTCCTCACTAACCCCTCTGCCGGACTGGTTGTAGGCAGCCATCTTGTGAGGGTTAACTTGCATATTACTTCTTTATTATATAGGATTGGTTTCTTCTTATATGTGCCCTGACCAGAGAACAAACCCACAACCAACAAAGCTACCCAGCCAGGCCGAGGTTAAGGATTTTTAAATGGGGAGCTTGTCCTGGGTTACTCTGATGGGTCCAATGCAATTACCAGGGTCCTTATGGGAAAAGGCAGGGGCAGCAAGGGCCGAGACAGGTTTGAAGATGCTCTAATGCTGACTTTGAAGACGGAGGAAGGAGCATGGGCCCAGGTCTGGAGGCAGCTTTTTGCAGCTGAAACACAAGGAACTGGATTCTCCCTCGGTCTGCAGAAGGGACCCAGCCCTGACGACGCCCTGATTTTAGCCAAATAAGACGCGTTTTGGACTCATTACGTCCAGAACTGTCAGAGAATAAATGTGTTTTGTTTGAAGCCCCTCAGTCTGGGGCAGCAGCCATAGGACTCTAATACACAGTGGTGGACGTGGGCGCCCAGGTGAGTGCAGACAAGGATGAGGTGGTCCAGGTGGGAGGACACAGGTGGGAGGACACGTCCAGCAGCCCAGGCTCTCTGTGCTCCCCTCCATTACAGGCTACATCTGTTAGCTATTCTCACCACCCCAGGCCCCTCCCGAAAGCCGGTGCAAGACTCCTGTTTGGAGCTCATCGCCCACATCTAGTCTCCGCGCTAGACATACACAAAACAACTTCTTTCCGGGCAAAGGGCTGATGACTAGCCCTTGATTTCAGGGGCTGCAGCCCATCTCCTGGGCCCCAAATGACCCCAATGTGTTTCTCTTCCCAAGTGTTTTCCTTGTTCTGTTTTAAATGACTGGGCAGTGGTACTGCTTGCTCAATCAGGCTTCCTTGGGAGTCTCGGTTCATTACATCCATTAGCACTTCCTGCTCCTTCCCGGCAGGGGACCTGCAGAAGCGTCAGTTCAAATGGCGGCCGCCTCCCTGAGGGCAGCGCTGGAGCCCTGGCTCCGTTCTCCTTCCCTCCCTGTCCCTGGCAGCAAGAATCCCAGGCTGCCTCTCTGCCTTGTGAGCCGTACTTTCCTTCCAGCCAGAGAAACCCTGTGGCCTTGGGCATCACAAGGATTGCATTCCTTTGCAGTGGTTCTTCCCTGATGAAAAAGATAATCACCTTTAAAAGCTATAAAGAACTTGGAAAAAACACCCAGAGAGTATAAAACCTGCTTTTAGCAGTAACTCAGGAGGCTTCCTTGTTTTCCCCGGAGTTGACTGTGATCACAAGACGCGGAGTGGACTGCCCCCTCGGGTGAGAAGCCTCATTAGGGACGTCTGAACAAAGACAGGGGACCTGTGTGCGCTTCAGACGTCTGCAAATTTCCCCGCTGCAGGCGGGCACCCGATCCATTAAGGACGGGAAGAGGTATAGTTGGTCTTTTACAAGAGCATCTGCTTCCCAAATGGCTGGATGAAAATCAGACTGTGCTTCACTGTGAAGCGTCCAGAACACGGTACTAATTGAATGTAGAAGACAGCATTAGGCAGGATTAGTTGTGCAGAAAATCATCAGCATTTGAGGCTCAGATACTGAGAACTAAGCTTACACATCATAATAATGCTTCAATAATTCCAAAAATCCAGCTGCATTTTTGTTTTTAAGAACTTTTTTTTTTTCTCATTATCTAGCCAGAGCTATGAATAATAGGAACTTTTATACAAGTGCAAGCTCGGTATGGGTCCAATGTGAAGTTAATTGGAAGGACAATGGACAGCTGAAAAACTGGCTCAGAACACCAAAATATATTATTGTATTACAAAAACTCATCAACATCCAAGACTATATTACACTCACAACAACAATGAACGCATGTGCCCTTTGGAAGCTTCTAGTGAAACAACGGCAAAATAATGTGCGTGCTGCCACCCCTTCCTGTTGAGACAGGCGAGTAAGCCAGGAAAAGTGCACTAGGGAAACTGATTAAAGCCCCGGTGTTGGCAAATGGGGTCGATACGGTTGTCACTGGAGGGGCAGTCAGTGGGCTGACTGACTGAATGATGTAATGTTTATAGAACACCTAGTGCAGACCTGTTCTTGGGTCACAAACTGCTTATCTGTGTTTCCAGATGCTGCAGTTCAGGCCTGAGACGTTACCACTCACCCCTGAAGGGTCTCTGAGAAAGCTGGGGGGCGGGGGAAGAGGAGGAAATGACATGGGAGGACTGGGCTAAGGGTGGAAGGGGAGAACTATCATTTATTAATGATGTCAATGAGCCAGGCACAGTGCCAGAAACTTTGACATCTCACTTAGATATCTCTCTATTTCTCTCAAACCCAAGGAGGCCGGCAGTTGTCCTTCAGGTGACCTTCAGCAGTGCCGGCTGTCGGTTACACACCACTGCCAGAAATGGGTTGTAAATTGCACGCTGTGTTCCTTTGTTTATCTTTGCAATATGCACACTGCTAGAGGACGTAAATCATGTGCAGTAATGAATTTCCTTTCTATAAAAGAGGTTAACAACATTTCCTACTTGATAGTGCGCTCATGAGAATGACATGAGGCAACGCACCTAAGACTCAGAAGTCTGCCACACAGCACCCACTCGGAGTTTCCTTTTACCCTGCAATTGCTCTAGTGATGATGATTGATGCTGTTTTGGTTTATTTAGAGTTACATGTTTTGTTTCCTTTTCAAAATGAAGCTAATTTTCTTCAGTTAACAGAAGTAATACATGAAAAACATAAAATACAGACCAACAATAAATAATATTTAACATATTTAATATGCTAGCTAGATTATTTTAGCTCCTTTTGGATACATGTGCCCATACATACAAGCACACACACACACACACACTAAATGTGTTTCCAAAACACATTTGAAGCTATCAAAAATTTATTTAACCCAGAAAGCAGTCATTCATTTAACCACTCACTCACTTAGCAAGTAAAAGTGATGGAGAACTTGCCGTGCCTGGGACTGGATAAGACCTTGAGCAAAGCCGTGCCGCCTCCCAGAGCTCTCAGGTGCTTGCACAGCTTGAAAGGAGTGAGTCTGTGAA